GCCCCAGGCAGAGTTGCTCTGCCCCGGGCTTCCTGGAATCAGCTGCTGATCAGTTTCAGCAGCAGCTGACTTGGGGACGCCTGGGGTTCTTAAGTTGATTCTGTATGTAAGTCAGAACTGGCGGTCAGTTTCAGCAGTGTCTGAATCTGGATGCCAGTTCCGACTTACATACAGATTCAACTTAAGAACAAACCTACAGTCCCTATCTTGTACGTAACCCGGGGACTGCCTGTACATCAGTTTTCTATTACTGGACCAATACTAACTCAGCTCGGGACGCCTGGGGTTCTTAAGTTGATTCTGTATGTAAGTCAGAACTGGCGGTCAGTTTCAGCAGTGTCTGAATCTGGATGCCAGTTCCGACTTACATACAGATTCAACTTAAGAACAAACCTACAGTCCCTATCTTGTACGTAACCCGGGGACTGCCTGTACATCAGTTTTCTATTACTGGACCAATACTAACTCAGCTCTGCTTAACTGGCTTATCTTTTATATCTGCCATACTTTCTTGCAATATTTGTAGAAAAAAATAGCTTTTTGTGAACAATTCTCTTCATCTTTAATATGAACATTTAAAAAAGGCTTTCATAACAATTAAGGGAAGAGAAAGCGTAATTGTACAAGGCAGATACACAAACAATAGAAGGTCACATCACACAACGGCTGTGTCTACACTGGGCCACTTATTCCGGAAAATCAGCTGCTTTTCTGGAATAAGCTGCGAGCTGTCTACACTGGCCCTTGAATTTCCGGAAAAGCAACGATGCTCTACTGTACAAAATCAGCCGCTATCCCGGAAAAACTATTCTGCTCCCGCTCGGGCATAAGTCCTTCTTCCGGAACACTGTTCTGGAAAAGGGCTAGTGTAGACAGCCCAGTAGTCTTTTCCGGAAAAAAGCCCCGATCGCGAAAATGGTGATTGGGGCTCTTTTCCAGAAAAGTGCATCTACATTGGCCACAGACGCTTTTTCGGAAAAAGGGCTTTTCCGGAAAAGCAGCCTGCCAATGTAGACGCTCCTTTTCCGGAAAAACTGAAAACGGAATAGTATTCAGTTTTAAGCATTTCCGGAAATTCATCCCAGTGTAGACGCAGCCAACAGGTTTAGCAAAAAGGTTTTATTTCTGAATGTTCCATAACCAAACTAGAGTAATTAGCTGAAGAGTAAGACATCCAAATGCTTAATGGGGTTATGCAGATAGGTGTGGACATATTTTATGTAGAGCCTGGATCCATTTGTATGTAAAAGTAGCTGCAGATTGCAAAGTCTCCCAGTAAGCACTAGAAATATTTTAGCCTACAGATGTCTATTGCTTCATGGGACAAAAGGAATGTTAATGGAAGTCCAGCTTTCTTTTGTCCTTTTAATAAAAATGAATGAAAAGGGCAGGGTGATTTTTTTCAAGAGAATCTTGCGCTTAATTTTAAATTTTTTTACTTCTGGTCAGATACCATAGAAATCTTTTTGACCCTAAATATTCTGATTTTCAAATGATAAAGATCATCTAGGTAAAAAATTGGATACCAGGAAACAGTAAGTGGATTGAAAATCTGTACACACAGAGCTTTTCATTTTTACCTATTTTTATCAGTACACTGATACTAGCATGAAATAATGAAAAATATGAATATGAGAAGTATATCTAAGCTTTTCTATGAATCCTGAAATGAAACTAGGCTTTGCACTGGAATTCAGTAAATATTTTCTGCTTCTGGCATTAGCTGTATATTTTATGTAAACTCTAGAGTCTAAACAAAAGCTTGGTTTTGACTTTTGGTAGTGACTGATTATTAGTAGTGATTGAATTGGAAATGGCAGAGATGCTTAATGACTTCTATGTTTTGATCTTCACTGAGAAGTCTGAAGGAATGCCTAACATAGTGAATGCTAGTGGAAAGGGAGTAGGTTTAGAAGATAAAATAAAGAACTCGTTAGAAATCACCTAGAAAAGTTAGATGCCTGCAAGTCACCAGGGCCTGATGAAATGCATCCTAGAATAATCAAGGAGCTGATAGAGGAGGTATCTGAGCCTCTAGCTATCATCTTTGGAAAATCAAGGGAGACAGGAGAGATTCCAGAAGACTGGAAAAGGGCAAATATTTCCCTTTTTATAAATGGGCATTATAAGAACAACCCAGGAAACTACAGAGCAGTTAGTTTAACTTCTGTGACAGGGAAAATAATGGAGCAAGTAATTAAGGAAATCATCTGTAAACACGTGGAAGGTGGCAAGGTGATAGGGAACAGCCAGCATGGATTTGTAAAGAACAAATCATGTCAAACCAATCTGATAGCTTTCTTTGATACCATAGCGAGTCTTGTGGATAAGGGAGAAGCGGTGGATGTGATATACCTAGACTTTAGTAAGGTGTTTGATATGGTCTTGAATGATATTCTTATCAATAAACTAGGCAAATACAACTTAGATAGGGCTACTATAAGGTGGGTGCATAATTGGCTGGATAATCGTACTCTGAGAGTAGTTATTAATGGTTCACAATCCTGCTGGAAAGATATACAAAGTGGGGTTCCTCGGGGTCTGTTTTGGGACCGTCTTTCTTCAATATCTTCATCGACGATTTAGATATTGGCACAGAAAGTACGCTCTACTCTGCGCTGGTTAGGCCTCAGTTGGAGTATTGTGTCCAGTTCTGGGCACCACATTTCAAGAAAGATGTGGAGAAATTGGAGAGGGTCCAGAGAAGAGCAACAAGAATGATTGAAGGTCTAGAGAACATGACCTATGAAGGAAGGCTGAAAGAATTGGTGTTGTTTAGTTTAGAAAAGAGAAGATTGAGGGGGGACATGATAGCAGTTTTCAAGTATCTAAAAGGGTGTCATGAGGAGCAGGGAGAAAACTTGTTCATCTTGGCCTCTGAGGATAGAACAAGAAGCAATGGGCTTAAACTGCAGCAAGGGAAGTTTAGGCTGGACATTAGGAAAAAGTTCCTAACTGTCAGGGTAGTCAAACACTGTAATAAATTGCCCAGGGAGGTTGTGGAATCTCCATCTCTGGAGATATTTAAAAGTTGGTTAGATAAATGTCTATCAGGGATGATGTAGCCAGTATTTGGTTCTGCCATGAGGGCAGGTGACTGGACTCAATGACCTTTCGAGGTACCTTCTTCTCCTAGTGTTCTATGATTCTATGAATATGGATTTAATGTATAAGTGCCTCACACTTGAAACTCTTAGTGCCTGAACCAAAGCATATTGAAGTAGATGAGAGTCTTCCCATTGACTTCAGTAGTCTTTGAATCAGGTAGGCCTTCTGTGACTTTGACGGATTACTTCTATTTCCATGAGTCACCCTGCTCAACTTTTAGGGTCTTTGAAAGGTTTTTTTGTGGGTTGGGTTTATCAAGTCCATATATTTTGAAAATCTGCTTAATGATATTCTATCAAGACGAAACATTTTGAAATACTGACATTTCATCCCACCTCACCATCCTCATGATTTCTAAGAATTCACACGAGGCATAAAAAATCAAGGCAGAAAAGTTTTAATATGTGAAATGTGTTCACCAACTTAATATTGGCAATATCAGTCAGTTACAAAACATATTTGAATCATAGGAACATATGAAGAAGGGGGATAGCAGTAAGCCTAGACTTTGATTTTAATGTGAAAAATATTAAATATATTATATATTCAATAAAATTATAATCAAATACTTCATTTTGGCATCATCACAAATTATTACTTGGTATTCTTTCTTCTTCAAACTACAGCTCAGTGTCTTCTTATGATTAATGAACACTAGCAAGGTATACTGCTGATCTACACTAATACAGATGTAGCATATGTACCTCCTAGCTAATTATATTCTGTAACAAAATATTAGTATAAGGTTTACATTAAAAATAAATTGGAATTGAGTGAAAATGGTTTCATTGTCACCTGGTTTTTGAATCAGGAATGGGGTAGGAATAAGTGCTCATAATTCAAAATGCTCAACAACGAAAAAGTGTTGTCAGGAAGTTTCTTTGAAATTAGGGTCTTGATATATAGAGTCCACCAAAATAAAACAAACTTTATGTGGATTTTAAAAGAAAATAGTACCAAAAACTTGCATGCAGCTGCCTGGCTAAAGAATATTATGTTAGGCTCATAGTTGTGTAATATGCTACTATGATAACCTCATTAGAAGTTTTGGTTTGAAAGTACAAATAAGACTTAATGTTACTTTCCTGTTGTGTTTTTACTTTTCAAGAATTAATAAAATTAGTGATTGTACATTTACAAGGAAAATATTCCTATGAATCATAGACTCCTTAATGTAAAGAGTAAATCTTATAGTAACTGTAAGGAAACAGTGTTCATTTTCTTGCACTTTTTAAATATCTTACATGTTCATCAACTACCTGCTAAAATTGTAAGTAATAAAGAACTTATAAAAAGAGACAAAACAATAATTTTGTATTAAATCTCTCTCCCTGCAGACACTGGAGCTCATTTGTATTTGTTAGAATTGAAAGCTTCTTTTCATGGTTCTTTTCCAGCCCTTTCTTTTTTCACCTTATCTTAGTTGCATAATATTTATTCTTTATTCATTCTTTGCTTTAAAAAGCTTACCTTACATATCCAGTTTGTACCACATCTCTCGCACATTGCTGTTCTTAAAATTCAGTTTTTTAAATGAAAAAAAACCTTATGGGCCAAGATTTTCAACAGTCATTAGCGCTTTTGGGAACTCAACTTGAGAGATGTCTGGAGCTTTGTTTGTTGGTTTATTTAAGAGGGTGATTCCCCACCATACTGTGAAAATCAAGTTTCTTGAACATGACTAGTTGGTGACTAAGAATAAAGGTACAACGAAATCAAATTATTGGCCATTTATGAAAATCTTGGACTAAAACCATAACAAACATTTACAGTTCTGTGTGACTAAGAACAACATTAGTTAATTCATTGCAGTAATTACTGCTTTTTGTTAATAAAGTAGATACTTTATTTGATGTAAGGACGTGAAAATGAATAAGCTCTCTTTATTACAGCCCTGATAACATGGGGCTGCTTGACCCAGCCACTAGTGATGGACGAGTAATTTTCTTCCTACCATGGGAAAAGATGACTATTGCCGGGACTACAGATACTCCAACTGAGGTTACACATCACCCGATACCTACAGAGGAAGATATTAACTTTATTTTGACTGAAGTGCGCAACTATCTTAGTTGTGATGTTGAAGGTAACAATAATGAGCTTTTTTTGGAGTGGGGGGCTAGCCATGTTAGTCCGTATCTACAAAAACACCGAGGAATCCTGTGGCACATTAGAAACTAACAGATATATTAGGGCATAAGCTTTTGTGGGTAAACCCCACTTCATTGGTTTTTCCCATGAAAACTTATGCTGTAATAAATTTGTTAGTTTCTAAGGTGCCAAAGAACTCCTCATTTTTTAATGAGCTTTGTTTTTCATTTTGTGTCTGCAATTTTTAATAGTGAAACTCTGCTGTCACTAAAGTTTTTTGTGATTTGACTTATCATGCTTTTGGTATTCTGGGGGACATTATGTGATCTTACCAACATTTCAGGCTAATGCAGTTACTGCTTTGTCAGATGTATCCTGCATACCCTGGTAGTTTATATACTGATCCACTCTGAGGGCTCCCTTTTGGCCAGAATGGCATTAACTTTTTGGCTTCGCAGCCACTCATTTGCTCCTTTTGGGCTGGGGGGATTCTGTGTGATGCTGTCAGTTTTCATCAGAGGGAAGGGGTGGAAGATGTGGAACATGTGAAGGTACATCCAACATCTAAGCATGAGTTTGATGATCAGCCTCAATGAACTTTTCTTCTAGAAAAAGTTCTTGAATTTTCCAAAGTCTTTATTCTGGTTTGTATTTTTAACCACTTTGTCCTTAATATTTGCCCTTTTTTTTAAGGCACATGTTCAGTATTGTCCAGTTTTTAGTTCAGGAAGAAGGATTAAGGAAAAAAATGGAATTTTTAAAAATAGCACAGTGATTGCTAGGTAGGTTCATTTGATATAGGGCACTTAAATGGAAATGACCTGTTTACATTCAGATTGGTTTAGAGTTGAAAGCTTCATATCTCATTACCAAGCCCTTTAGCCATTCTGGCCCTTTACTGTTGCTGTGTTTTAAAATATTTTTTGTGAAAATGTTTGCATTAGAGATATTAAAGTAAATCTGAAAAGTATTTTGCCTGCTGGGAATGTAGCAGTTTTGTGTAGTTAGACGTAGGAAGGTTTCTATCCAGAGGCTGAAAACTCTAGCTTTCTTGTTTACTCTTCCCTGGAATGGGTAAATTGATAGTTCTGTTTTTGTATCAAGTTAAGAAAAATGATCTATCCAAAAAATGCACCATCAAGTCTCTTGAGCAGAAGTTAATCAGAATGATGTGGTGTGCCAGGCAGGTGGTTTGTTGAACTAAGCTATGGCTCAGAGTATTGAATAGGACAGAATTTTTGCAAGGTGTTTCACAAAAGTAGTTTTCTGGACTGTTTAAAGCTTTTGAAGGAAACCCACATAGGTGCATGCTGGTTTTCACGTATCCAATTAGCAATGTTTATAGATTGCCTGTTTTTGAATTAACAACTGTGCTGGCCGTATCAACTCACTGCAGACCTGCTTTTTAGCTGCCAGAGACAGTGCCAGGGTTATCAACTTACACAGGCTTGGATGTGTTCCAACAATTTAATTATAGTGTCACACATGCTGCTTTTCCCAGTTTCTTTAGTTTATAAATGTAATATGGTATCTTATTTCTGTGATTAGCACTTCATTTTAGCGGGTTAAACATGTTGGCAGAGCAACATCAATTTCTGAAATCTATTCAGTGCTCTTTTGGGATCTCTTTATAGTCTTTTATCGATTTTCAGTTATCAGTCATGTGAAAGCAGTATCTAAAAACATACCCCAATATGCTTCCACGTAAAGCAAATCAGTCAATTTTTTCCTTTGTAAATTTAATAAGCAACACAGTTAAGTTTTAAAAAAGCCTCTACTTCTCTCATGTTTTGTTTAGAAAGTGAAATGATTATAACATCTATTTGTGGTTTTAAAAAGAAATAGTGTTATGGTATAAACAGATATGATCTATTTAAACCGGTTGGTAAAGACATTATAGCTTAAGCTGCTTGGAACTTTTAAATTATTTGGTATTTTATACATTATGCAAAAATAATGTGGATTACTCGGAACATGCATAACAAAAACATCTTTTAATTACAGTAATTTAAAAGATCCAATGTCCATATCACAAAAATTATGGCTTTGCTGGCTGATGGAAAAATTCAGGATGCGTGTGCATATTCCTTATGTGGTCATCAGTGAACTATGCAGGTGCGCTTCTCTAAGGCTATATCTACACAGCAGTGTTATTTCAGAATAATTGACATTATTCTCAAATGACAAAGAGCGTGTCTACACATTATTTCGAAATAATGGCGAGCTAGAGGACTTCTTACTCTGACTTCTCTAACCCTCATTTCACGAGGAGTAAGGGAAGTTGAAGAAAGAGTGTTCTTCCTTTGATTTCCTGCTATGTAGACGGCAGCTAAAGCTGAGTTAAGGTATTTCGACTTCAGCTGCGCAATTAATGCATGGTCTGTTTTGGGACCAGTTCTGTTCAATATTTTCATCAATGATTTAAATATCGGCATAGAGAGTACGCTTATTAAGTTTGCAGATGATACCAAGCTGGGAGGGTTTGCAACTGCTTTGGAGGACAGGATCATAATTCAAAATAATCTGGACAAATTGGAGAAATGGTCTGGGGTAAACAGGATGAAGTTTAATAAGGACAAATGCAAAGTGCTCTACTTAGGAAAGAACAATCAGTTTCACACGTACAGAATGGGAAGCAACTGTCTAGGAAGGAGTACGGCAGAAGGGAATCTATGGGTTATAGTGGACCACAAGCTAAATATGAGTCAACAGTGTGACGCTGTTGCAAAAAAAGCAAACGTGATTCTAGGATGCGTTAATAGGTGTGTTGTGAACAAGACACAAGAAGTCATTCTTCCGCTTTACTCTGCACTGGTTAGGCCTCAATTGGAGTAGTGTGTCCAGTTCTGGGCACCACATTTCAAGAAAGATGTGGAGAAATTGGAGAGGGTCCAGAGAAGATCAAGAAGAATGATTAAACGTCTAGAGAACATGATCTATGAAGGAAGTCTGAAAGAATTGTTTTTTTATAGTTTGGAAAAGAGAAGTTTGAGGGGGGACATGATAGCAGTTTTCAGGTATCTAAAATGGTGTGACAAGAAGGAAGAAGAAAAATTGTTCTTCCTGGCCTCTGAGGAGAGAACAAGAAGCAAAGGAGCAAAAACTGCAGCAAAGGAGGTTTAGGTTGGACATTAGGAAAAAGTTCCTAACTGTCAGGGTGGTTAGACAGTGTAATAAATTGGCTAGGTAGGTTGTGGAATCTCCTCTTAAATGTCTCCAGAGATGTAGGTTACATAAATGTCTATTGGGGGTGGTCTAGACAGTAGTGGGTCCTGCCATGAGGGCAGGGGACTGGACTCGATGATCTCTTGAGGTCCTTTCCAGTCCTAGTATTCAATGATTCCTTTGACTTCCTGCTGTGTAGATCTCACCGAAAGCTGAGTTAATCTATTTTGACTTCAACTACGCAATTGATGTAGCTGAATTTGCGTAGTTTAATTCGAGTTTTGACCTGCTGTGTAGAGGTGTCCTAACGGAATATCACCAACTGCATGGTCTCTGAAGGTACATCTACATAGCAGCGTTATTTTGGGATAACATCCGTTAACCCCAAAATAGCATTCTGTGCAGCTTAAGAGCACACCTGTTATTTCAAAATACATTTGAAATAACAGCCTTCTTATTCTGGCTTCCTGTAAACCTCATTGCACGAGGACTAACAAAGATGCCAGAATAACGATTTATTTCAAAATTAGCGCTGTGTAGAAAATAAGCAGTTTCAAAATAAGCCATGCAATATGCGTAGCTTAAATTGCATCGCTTATTTTGCTGTACGTGCTGCTGGGTAGATGCTCCCTGAGAGGAGATTTTGTACCTTGCAGTAATAGCCTCAATGCACAAGTCTGTACTGCAAAATGGCCCGTGGAATAGCACCAGTATCAACTATTACAGGAAGCAGCATGTGATTGCTACTTATAGGGTCCCTGGGTTGAGATCCAGAGTATTGAGTGGGCCCAAGTCCTCCCATCAACCTCTAACAGAATGACCTGAGACCCAAGAAAGAGTCAAGATTTGTTTAGGGGCTCAAGTGACAAGCAAAAATTAGAGGCTCCAGGAAGAAAGCCCTGGGGACATTGCTCTATACAGGGCAGACATAGACTTAAAGCTAGCCTGTTCATTTGTGACTTGATGGAGTGAATCTGGATATATCAGTTGGTTGTGGTTATTCATTGTGATAGCTTGAGACGTGTGCACGAAGATGAAAAAGAAGTGTCTTGTCCCAAGGAGTTCACTCTTGACTACAATGGGAGTAGGAACAGGTCCTTTAATGCATTGATATCATAATAAAGAAAACAGGTAATGAGAGACACAATGGAAAGAGTAGAATTGTGATCGGTTCCTTTTTCAAAATGTACAATTTTAACATGTTAACCTGAAGGACAAAAGTCATTCAAGAGGGGCAAGAAAGATGGAATGGAGATTTCCACTGAAAGACTAAATGGAAAAAATGAGAGGCTTTTACTGCTGGAAGCCTTTTCTGAGCAGTGGATAGTGGAATAGTGCTGATTGTTCTCAGAGCAACAACTGGGTACTGTTTATGGTCCCAGCTGTTTGCTCTTACATTATGGTCATAGGATATATTAAATTTTACTCAGCTGCTGGATCCCTTGGTACTTTAGAAGATATGGAGAAATCAAGCTTTTATTTACATTCTTTTATTTTTCACATTCTACATAACAAGGCCTCTTAATTTTCAAGTAAATAATAGAATCCTAGGGTCAGAAGACACCTTAGGAGGTCATCGAGTCCAACCCGCTGCCCAAAGCAGTACCAACCCCAATTGAATCATAATAGTTAGGGCTTTGTCAAGCTGGGACGTAAAAATCTTTAGGGATGGAGATTCCACAGCCTCTCTAGGTAACCCATTCCAGTGCTTCACCACCCTCCGAGTACTATAGTTTTTCCTAATATCCAACCTAGGTCTCCCCCACTGCAACTTGATGACCATCCTGTCATCTTAGTGGTAACAGAACAGCCTCTTGCCATCCTGTTTGGAACCCCCCTTCAGGTATTTAAAGGCTGCTAGCAAATCCCCTCCCCCTTCTCTTCACTAGACTAAATAATCCCAAATCCCTCAGCCTCTCCTCATATGTCATGTGCTCCAGCCCCCTAATAATTTTTGTTGCCCTCTGCTGGATTTTCTCCAATGTGTCCACATCCTTTCTGTAATGGGGCCCCAGAACTGGACACAATACTCCAAATGTGGTCTCACTAGTACCTAGTAAAGGTGAATAATCACTTCCCTTGATCTGCTGACAGTGCTCTTTCTAATGCACCCTAATATGTCATTAGCCTTCTTGGCTCCAAGGGCACACTGTTGACTCGTATCCAGTTTCTCGTACACTGTAATCCCCAGGTCTTTTTCTGCCAAACTGCTTTCTAGCTAGGCGGTCCCCAGCCTGTAACAGTGCTTGAGATTCTTCTGTGCCAAGTGCAGGACTTTGCACTTGTCCTTGTTGAACCTCATCAGATTTCTTTTGGGGCCTAATCCTCCAATTTGTCTAGGTCAGTCTGGACCCTATCCCTACCCTCCAACATATCTACCTCTCTCTCTAGCTTAGTATCATCTGTGAACTTGCTGAATAAATACATAAATATATAATAAAGCTACATAATAGTGCTGGAGTTAATTCATCTAGGACTCAGAAAGGCCCACTATGTTCTTTTATAATAGCTGTTATATTATTCAGAAAACTGTTTTTATTAGGAGATGATGCCAATTGCAATGTTTAACGAAAGTAACTGTGCTTTTCTGGTTAAAAAGAAACAAAAAACAGTGTTGCAGTGGCTCTCTGACTCTTTGAAGTAGTCCAGGGGAAAATGTAATTCAAGGCAGAGAACACAAATAGAAGATTTAAGTATCAGAGGGATAGCCATGTTAGTCTGAATCTGCAAAAGTGATGAGGAGTCTTGTGGCACCTTATCGACTAACAGATTTATTGGAGCATAAGCTTTCATGGGCAAAGACCCACTTCATCAGATGCATGTAGTGGAAATTCCGGAGGCAGGTATAAATATATAGGCATAAGAAAAGAGTACCAAGATTTAAGTGTGTTTCCAAGGAAAAACAACATATTTTCCTTTTCTAAAAATAAAATTACTGTTGTCCTGGCACCTAAAAAACCACACAAAACAAAAACAAAACAACTTGACCATTTTTCTCCACCTACCATCACCAGGTCCATTGAACTGGTTAGAGATTTCTGAGATATGGAATCCGCCTCTTTTAGCTCTACATACATCATGAAAGTATTTTGTGGAGAGGTGCAGCCTCTCATTACACACATGCTGGATATTCCGCAAGGAGAAGGTGGGGGTAGCTCTTTGTTTCTTATTTGAACCCCCCACATCAGGACAAGTATTTTGATGGGGGAAGGATGAGACTTCAACAACAGGTATAGGCTTGGGAGGGAAAGATTTCACCCACTTTCCTTTTGAATTTCCATTTTCAGCCTCTTTGTACCCCGCCTTCATGGTGAACTCAAGATGCAAATGTGGTAGGTAATCTTTCTGTGGATATTGAACCATCATTAGCCTGGCTGACCCAAAAGTCAGAGTTCTAAGATGTTCCTAAATATTGCACAGTAGATTACCCGTATTAGCAGCTGAGCCACTAGGAGCATCATCCATATAATTTTTTGGTTTTCAGTTGTTACTCAGCTCTGAATGATCAGATGGTTTTGTTGCACTAGTATGTGGACAGTTTCATGTACAAGATGCTGCTGACCAGCTTTCTATGATGCAACAAAATAGGTTAGTGTGAAACATACCATTCAGCCATGTACATTGTGGCAGTTAACAGTAGTCATAAAAGGAGGGTGGTAAAAATAAATGATATGGGAGCTTTAGAATGATATAAAAAGTATGCTGGAATTTGTAAAAACCCAAGGTTATCTCACATATACTAATTTTCATCATATTTGAGATTGTCTGGGCACATGACTGGGAGCCAGGAATCTTGGAATTGTAACCTAGTTTTGATATTGAATCCCCCTCTTATCCTTGAGAAAGTCACATCAGCTTCTCTGTTCTTTAGTTTTCCGATCTTCAAAATAGGACTAACAATATTTCTCTCCTAAGGGGGTTGTGTTAGATAGTGTTTGTAAAATTGTATTGAAATTCTATATTAAGTCATAGGATGTGAGCAAACTGAGGATGCGTATACATATGTCCTTGCTTGTCTCTCCTGTATTCTTTGTAACTTTAAGAAAATGAAATTTTTGTTTTTAATCAGAAAATAATTAGAAACTGATCAGTTCTCGAGGTTATTTTCTAATTCTCTCTGTCTATTATTTGCTTCTAAACAGTGAGAAGAGGAGATGTCTTGGCAGCATGGAGCGGCATTCGTCCCCTTGTCACTGATCCCAGCTCTAAAGACACCCAGTCAATATCTAGGAATCATGTTGTTGCTGTTAGTGACAGTGGCCTGGTTACTATAGCAGGTACTGGAAATCCATTCCTGGTACCTCATCTGGCTTTGTTATACCTAACAGAGTATATTTAATTCAAAGTTAGTGAATGTTTGTACAGCAGATTTGAAGGAACAAGTGATATTATTTAGTTATTAGTGAATAAGTAACTTACTAGTTCAAGTCTAGTCAGGGTGAAACTATATTAAGTGTGAAGTTTGGCCAGTGCAACACACTTCCACTAATTACCAAATCAAATTGCTTGCAGGTGGGAAGTGGACAACCTATCGCTCCATGGCACAAGATACCATTGATGCAGCCATCCAGACTCACAATCTAAAGGCAGGCCCATGTAAGACAGTAGGCCTGTTACTGCAGGGGGCTAAGGACTGGAGTCCTACTCTTTACATTAGGTTGGTCCAAGATTATGGACTGGAAAGTGAGGTGAGTCAACTACATTTTTACTCAGTTCTACTCTGGGGGGGGAGGAAGGGGGAAAGTGGTAGCACAGCCTGTACTATGAGCTCATAAATTGGCATAGGACTGTGCTGTTTGGTCACGGCAGAAATAATTGTATAAGAAAGAAAGAAATTCAGTCATAAATTTTCTTTGCTAGTGGAGTACTTAAAAGCCATGTGTACTCTTTATTTCAGTGTCTGCATAATCACCAAACTATGCCCTCGGTTTTTAAACGTGTGTGACAACCTAAGTCTTTGGCTTCTCAAGCCCAACAAAATCTATTCTTCTAATGTGATCACAGTAGCAGAAAGGAGCTGAAGCATCATTAGTCACCGTTACATTGATACATGCATAGTAGCGTTAGTGCTGGTCTAAGCATTCACAACGCAAGTTGTTTCCTCCCACACAATCAAAAACTAATACCATCCTCAGCCTATTTATTACAGGCTATGGGAGGGCTGACAAGAATAGCTGATATATATTCAACTGTGCTTCAGAAGGTGCTAGGAAATAGTGTTCACTGAATATGCTCTTCATTTTATAGGTGGCTCAGCACCTTGCTTCTACATATGGTGACAAGGCTTTTGAGGTGGCCAAATTAGCCCAAGTTACTGGAAAGAGGTGGCCTATTGTTGGAAAACGCCTTGTATCAGAATTTCCATATATTGAAGCTGAGGTATGAGAAAATGGCAAGGTTATTGTCTCTATAACTTGTGGTGATTATTGGTCTCCTTCCCTGTGAAGTATCCTTATAACCCCAAATCTTCAGGGGTGAAGAGAGGGAGTGGAATCTGTATCTGGCGTATAAACACAAATTTATTTCAGAGTAAAACATACAATTAATAACAGTTCAGGAAAAATTATTCTATCTGGATGCATGATCCCAGATGCTTTTTATATTTCTGCAAAAAGGGGGGCTTATTTCATACAAATCTATTTTCTTCAATCACTTAAGCCAAATCATGGCCTAGTGTGCATAGATGCACTCCATATCTGCCCCATCCAGTGCTCTTATTCACCTTACCAACCCATTTGCCAGAGCTTCCTGCTATTTTTTTGCCTCATTCTGACACAAATCCAGCCCTTTTCCCAAGTTCAAACACTTCAGGATTTTACATTTTTCTTTTTATTTAATTCTATTATCCTAGGTTGTATATGGGGTAAAAGAGTATGCGTGCACTGCAGTGGATATGATTTCACATCGCACTCGGCTGGCCTTCTTGAACGTGCAAGCTGCAGATGAAGCCCTACCAAGAATCATTGATATAATGGGGAAGGAACTTCGCTGGAGTGATCAGAAGAAAAAGGTACAAAAGGCACTTTACAAGAAAGCTTTAAAAAAGTACCAGTTGTGGAGCTCTCTCTGTCTTGCATTTTTATCTTATTACCTCTTGCACATCCTGCAAGAAAGAGAGATTTCCCCTTGCTACTAAAAACAAATAAAAAACAAAACAAAAAGAAAAAAAACATGTGGTTGGTTAATATATATAAATAGAATCCATACACAATTTTTATCACTAAAAGAATAAAAAAAAAATTGCCGAAACCAGATAAAACAATACTTAAACCCCATTGATATAGTCATCACATCTTTCTGTCCTTTACTTTAATTTAAATACTAAAACCTTTATTGGAGGTAAAAGCCCTTCCTTCAAATTGCTGAAATTCTATTTATGAAAAACTGATGAGAGGTGTAGAGTTTTTTGGCAAATTACCACAAGTCAGGTTTTGCCCATCGAATCCTGTCCACAACAAAGTATGTTTAATCTACTCCTGCTAATATGGCCTATGGGACATAGAGTCCCAGTTCCACTTTAAAACTATACTATCTTGTTTTCCTTAACCAGTTTCCAGCTTAACAAATGTGTGTCCAAACTGGTTTAATAGAAAATTGCAGATGCTCTCTTCCTCCCACGAGGATTATCTTTTGGCATAGGCCATTATAAAAGAGCTATCAAACCAATTATAGTCTTGAGCTGCTTAACTTAAAAGTGAAAGTAAAATTAGAGGTTTCCTCCTGTTCCTTAGTTGACATGTTGTTCAACATGAAATTTGTCACAATTTACCAGTTTCTTCGAGGCACACAGTATTTGAATAGTAGGAGTGTTTCAAGTCAGAATTGCTGCTCATTGGTAGAGCTGTGAAAGGAAAGCTTGCATGGTTTTTTCCTGTATAGCATCTCATCTTGATTCTCCTCTTCTAAAGCTTCCTTTGTGAACTGATGATGAAGTTGAGCTTGATAGCACTCAACCAATCAGCAGTACTAAGTTTGCAAAACAGTCAGAAAATGTCAACACTGAGATTGCAGGGCAGCCTTTCTTGCCCCCTTCGCATGTACACATTGTGATAATCTGTAGTTGCATGATCGCACACCACTTCCAATAATACAAATAACACACAGTTTCTGTAAGTGTAGACGGGTGGTATGTCTCTCATGCCCAGGAAGGATTGATACCCTGCCCACTGTCTATATCAGGTCCTTTTCCTCGGGTCTTCATTTATTGGTCATACCAACAATATTCAGAATAAAAAAATCAAATAAACAATCAACATAAATCATTTGGCTAAACCAGGTTCCTTTCCATTACCCCAGGAACTTTGTTGTGGGAGTCACCCAGCTCTGATAGCTTTTTCCTAGCCCTCTTATAAACCATCTGTCTGGGTGTCCCAAAGCTGCTGGAGCCAAACTGCTGCTTAGAGTGCTCCTCCCTCAGTTTTTTTCAGCCCTTATAAGAGTTCAGTGCTTATCAGGCAATCATCCCATCCTTTGCAAGTTGCCAAGTACAGGCAGTCCCCGGGTTACGTACAAGATAGGGACTGTAGGTTTGTTCTTAAGTTGAATCTGTATGTAAGTCGGAACTGGCGTCCAGATTCAGCCGCTGATGAAACTGACCGCCAGTTCTGACTTACATACAGATTCAGCTTAAGAACCCCAAGCTTCCCCAAGTCAGCTGCTGCTGAAACTGATGAGCGCTGATTCCAGGAAGCCTGGGGCAGAGCAACTCTGCCT